ATATTTATATATGTGTGTATGTATATGTTAAAAAATTTGATTTTTGAAATGTAAAAGTTGTTTTGTTATTTTTGAAATAGGGTAAAGATAAAGTAGGAAAAATAAATTTTTCCCATCAATCAATGTACAAGAAGTTACTAAATTCCTTTGAGCCCTATATTTTTTTACAAAAAATGTATTTTGAAATAGTAATTTGATGGAGAATGTATAGTTAACAAATAATAATAAAAAAAAAATTAGATTTCTGTGTAATATTATTTTATCGAAGAATGCGTGATTGAAAATAAAAGAAAAAATGTATTTTGAAAATAATGAAGATCAAACAAGTGTTAAATATGACGATCTAATAACAAACAATAAGACTCAACTCAAATTAGTACTTTTTGTGTAGTATAGTTGTAGTTTCTTAATTTTTTTTTTTTTTTTTGTAATATTATAATTTTACGAAAACTATGTTGTAGGCTATAGAACTTTGACGTCTCTTTAGATATTTCGTGTTCACTATTAATTGTACGAGTCAAATAACTATGTTTTGAAGATTTTATTTCGTGTCCAAGGATGAATTGCTCTTACGGTCCTCAATTTATAATCGTGTAGACTTCACGCCAAAGTTTTCTTTCAATACCGAACTTCTTAATGTTACATTTTTAAGTGCAAAGATTCCTATTAGAATAGATGGATAACATAGAGATCATTATGTCTGATTTCAAGTTAGTGGAAATTTGTAATAAATAAAAATTTAGCATCACAACCTTCAAGATGATTTCAAATGAGTCCCTGTTTGACCCTCATTTTTTATAATTCATTTTTTCTCAAACTCAATTTTAACCACACATTTTTTTAATAAAATAATTTTACACGTTTCTGCATAACTTTTCTTTCTAACTACACCTTCTCCAAGAAAACATTACTTTCTCACAAAATTTATTCTTAAAAAATCTATACCAAATAGGAACGTGGTACGATGATATTATCCACCAATACAAGACTCATAAAAAGGGCATGCAACTGAAACAAAAGAATTTTATACTCAATGGGCTAGAAATCAGAAAA